CCAATAGTTTATTTTTGTTGTTGTTTCCCTTGCGTCAGGAGACATATCTTGGTAGAAGTTGCTATGCCTCATGTCAAAGTTTACTGCCTGTGTTCTTCTCTAGGATTTTGATGGATTCCTCTTTTTGTTGAACTTCTGTTGTAGTTTTCCTAATGCTTGCTCCCTGGCTACCAGGAGCCATCCGGGTCCATGGGACCAACTCAGTCTGGGGTGGGTTGGGCCAAGAAAGGTTGGTAGGAAGGCAAAGTAAAGGCCACATTCTTATCTATACCTCCATGGAGAATCTTTAATTCCCTACACTGTTCCTTTCATTCTCCTCACTTAATTATGGACTTGAGCCTTCAGATGAGCATAGGCCTTCACTTGATTTAGGATCCATGCCTTTATGGTTTTCAGGTCTTGAGAAGGACTGATTATCTCTGAACATCTTCTTCCAAGGCCATTTTCTGTATGATTGATGTGTGTTTTTCTGCTCATATTATGAATGAGATGATCCCCCCAAATAGCTTTTTTGTGGCTTTAGAGGAGCAATAAAGAGCATGGGACCTGTCTTGGATTAGTGGGAGATCAGCAAACAGATTTCTAATATGTTGTGTGTGGTGCTTTACCTTAAGAACCCATTCATCACCTTCCATTGTAGTGCCTCCTAAGTCTTGGCCAAGAAGCAAGGATTCTTCTACTATTCTTAACCTGGTTCATCAAAATATACACATTCTCTGTACCATCTACCTGTTGCATAGTAGAATATACTGGATACTAACTTAAGCAGATGGATACAGTTCAACTCTGTACCAGCTAGCTAATGTACTTTGTTCAGGTCACATAAGGTTGTTAACTGATTGCAACACGTATGTCTTAAAGAAGGGCCTTAAGAAATTAGTCCTTTAAGCAAATCATATTTATAGTTTTATGGGATTGTATTTAATTATAAAATCTACATTGGGCATCATAAAAACTTTGGAAAATACAGAAAAGCACATGGAAGGAATTAAAATCATTTATAATTCTACAATTTGAAGAAACCAACTATTAACATTTTGATGTATATTGTTCACGTCCTTGTTTTAGGATGTATGTGTAGTAGCGTTTCACATCTCCTTCTCTTTACCTAGTTTTTCTACCTAAGATGGTATTTATACTTTCCTACCATCAGATAGCCTTCTAAATTGTGCTGATTTAGCAGATAATACCTCATTTTTGCACACTTAAAGTATTTCTGAATTTCTGTAAAAAGAGCAAGGTGATGGAAATTTTTTTTTTAAGGTGATGGAAATATTTACAGCAAGGGGCTTCACACACTCCTGCATAAATTTTTAGAATAAATGTGCATGGGGCAAAACAAATAGACATTTTATTTTATTTATTTTTTTAAAGATTTTATTTATTTATTTATTTGACAGACAGAGATCACAAGTAGGCAGAGAGGCAGGCAGAGAGAGAGGCAGGCAGAGAGAGAGGCAGGCAGAGAGAGAGGAGGAAGCAAGGTCCCTGCAGAGCAGAGAGCCCGATGCGGGGCTCGATCCCAGGACCCTGGGATCATGACCTGAGCCGAAGGCAGAGGCTTTAACCCACTGAGCCACCCAGGCGCCCCCACAAATAGACATTTTAAAAGCTTGTGATACATATTGCTAAAAAAGATTCTATCACTCTGCTCTCCTACCAGCATTTTTTCAGAGTTCCCAGAATCCTCACCAATTTTCAAACATTATTATTATTATCATCATTATTATTATTATTTTAAATCCTGGCTACTTGGTGGGTGAAAAAAAAATGCAGTGCTTAAAATTTTATATATTTTATATTAAATTTTTAATAGTGAAGTCCTTCATGACTCACTTTTATATATTTACCGAAGAAGTTTTGTGTAGTGGTTAAGTACAGCTGCTCTGGGGCCCAAGTGTTCCCTTCCGGGCAACCATGGGTAAGCTCTTTTATCTCCCTGTGTTCACGTACCAGCTCTGATAATGGCGATACTTACTTCATGGAGTCCGTATGAAGATTAAAGAGGGTATCACATGACAAGTGCCTAGAAAGCACTTGGTATTACAGTAAGCACCTAATCCATATCAGTTACTCTTAGGTTCTCTAGCATTTAGATTTCTTCATGTATGTGTTGCTTTTTCATTGTCTTTATTTGGGCAAGTGGTTTTGTTTTTGTTTTGTTCTAGCACGAGGTTTTAGTATATTAAGTACATTAACCCACTACCTGCATATATTGTAATTTCCCCCAATTTATGGTTTGCCTTTAAGTTTTGTTCAAGGTGTGGACATTTTGGGTATCAGGAAATTCAGGCTAGGGGATGGCATAGTTTTGGTCCAGCCTGGGTCTTTTTTCTGCCCCTCAGCCCTGCCTGTAGGAGAGTTACATCCTTATCACTGGGAAGGTCCGGTATTGATTCTTGTCACCAGATAGCAGAAATGGCATTTGGAAGCAGGATATTAAAAATCATTATCTTGGAATAAAACTTCAGCTTAATTTATGCAAATAATGATGATAGCAGATGACAGGTCATGGATAATATTTCACCACTTCCCAATTATGACTAAATCCAACTCGTCAGCATTCTATAGTGAGATAAAATTAATTTCTTCAACTTGGAAGAAGCTTTGAATTTGAGATCAAGATCCCTCATAGATTGAGTGTCCATTAAGTGCTACTACATTTTCCTTCTTTTCTGCAAATGACACAGTAGGAGGATAATCTTTGTAGCTACACAATCTTGTGCACAGGGGGAACATGTTCAGTATTTTGGCATTTACATGTGCTACTAAAAATGAAAGTTTTTCACTTCCCTGGAAAAAATGTGGACATAGAGAACATTATTTTCCCTTGCTATGTAGCTATGAATTAGAATCACCCTTGCAAAAACACGGAAATTCTGCTAAGCTGCCAACTTGTTTCAGAAATTCGTTAAAAGTACAAATATTGCAGACAACACCTGAACGTGTACATCGACACACAGTTCTGATATGAAAGTAACATCTATGTTCATCTGTGTATATGCCTGTTCCACATCCAGTTTGTACTCCTCCCAGATTTGCTCAGTCTCCACTACCCCCTAGTTCTTGGCTGTCCGATCAGTGAAGAGCCAAGAACCCAGCCGCTTCCTCTGTTGCCTCATTCCCTAACACTGCCATTTATTTCAGCCTCCCCCAAGGACCAGACTTTGGCAAGGCCTCTGTAACATCTGCTACATGACAGCCACTGCAGCTCCAGTGTAAGGGAGTGACTTGATGCTCCCACAGAGGCTTACATGCCCTCATGCCTGGTTTCCCAGCAGCACCAGGTCATGGACATAGGACTTGGTTTCCCCAGTGGCAGCCCTGAGGAGTAGAGGGGTTTTAATGTCCATTGGCTGAATATTGACCAAGAAGAGACAGGAGACAGGCAGGAACCAACAAATTTATTTCATTTATGTCATTTGTGACTCCCTTTTTCTCCTTCTCATGGACTATTCCAGGTGCCATGACTCAATGTAATCTTTCTGGAGACTTCCAGTTGACTAAGCAACTGGCTATGTTGTTTTGTGAAGCGGTAGCCAGCTCGGTATTTGTCTCTGTTCTTTCCCACTTCACATCCCTGTTCCCCCTCACCCTGGTGGCCCTGAGATTGTATCACGAGTAATATGTTGGCACATAAAATTTTCTTCCGACTGCTTTCTTGGGAACCTGGGATAAGGCAGCATCTGAGAGCTTTCATATAGATTTAAATGAATATTTTATACTTAAGTACAGTGTTTAGCATTCAGGTATGAGTAAAATACCAGCATGTGCATAAAAACAACAACAAAAGTACAAATATTGCTACTGTGTAATGGTTAAATCAGAGTGTTATATTACTACTAGGCTACTAGGGTTATGTGTGACTGAAATTTTCCATATTAAAAAAATTTTCAAATAGTTTTGTTAATGATACTTAACACTACGGACCTTGGGAAAAACTGAACATCTTTTGTTTCTGACACGTCATCTGGTTATGCTGCGTGATTGCCGCATAGATGGGTATCTTCTTTCTGCCCATCTCTCCTACTTACTAAAATCACACTAAACACTTGCTTATCTCTTTCCCTTTTAGTAACTTCTATCAGAATATATTTTCAGATGTCACCCCCTCAAACAGTCACTCAAACTGAAGTCTGTATCAGTGATAATGAACAGAGAGGAGCAAGGAAATTTCAACATCCAAATTTTATACTTCCTCATTAGATTTTTGTCTTTGTTTTGTTGTTTTACTTCAAGCATGTTTTACTTTTATAAGATTTTTAAGAAATAACATTTTTTAAAAGATTTTATTTATTTATTTGACAGAGAGAGATCACAAGTAGGCAGAGAGGCAGAGAGAGAGGGAGAAGCAGGCTCCCCGCTGAGCAGAGAGCTGGATGCGGGGCTCCATCCCAGGACCCTGAGATCATGACCTGAGCCAGAGGCTTAGCCCGCTGAGCCACCCAGGCGCCCCGGGAAAACATATTAAACTAATGATTTATATGTTAACTGTTTTAAGAACTCTTAGGAATCTTGGGACCAGGCATGCTAAGCTGTTGCTGAAACAGACAAAAAATCCACAGCCCTTAGAGCTGGTCCTACAGCCTTGGCAGTACATTGATTGTCCTTATTTGAAAATCTTTATCCTTGCAAGTATTTTCTTCTTCTTTTTCCTTTTTCTGTGCCTGTTTTGACTTGCGATTATTGGAAAGCATAAGGCAAGCAAAAGTGATTGGTTCCTCATGCAATCTGAAATTTTACATTGCTGACTGAGTTCCGAGCTGCAGATGTCTCATGGGCTAGGTAGCACAGCTGTGTTCACGGCTCTCGGTCACGTTAGTCCTTTCCTTGTGAGCAAAATGTCATAGAATATTTAGCTCCTGTAGTACCTGTGTTGCCTGCAGCCGGGCATAGAGAACTGGCAGCGCTGGGCAGAAGTTTCCTTGTTTTGAGCTTCAGTGCTCTCAATGCGAGTATTTGACTCGCTCAATGAGTTTAACCCCAGTCTCTACTTGCAGGCAAAATGAAGGACCGGCTATCTGAACTTATGGAGTTAACCAAGAACTATGACCAGCAGTTCGCAGACGACGACGATGACTTTGACTCGCCCCACGAGGACATCGTGTTCGAGACGGACCACATCTTGGAGTCGTTGTACCGAGACATCCAGGACCTTCAGAACGAAAACCAGCTGCTGATGACCGACGTGAAGCGGCTGGGAAAGCAGAACGCCCGCTTCCTCACGTCCATGCGGCGCCTCAGCAGCATCAAGCGCGACACCAACTCCATCGCCAAGGACATCAAGGCCCGGGGCGAGAACATCCACCGCAAGCTGAGCGCCATGAAGGCGCTGAGCGAGGAGGCCGAGGCCCGGCACGGCCCCAACTCGGCGGTGGCGCGCATCTCGCGGGCGCAGTACAGCGCGCTCACGCGCACCTTCCAGAGCGCCATGCACGAGTACAACCAGGCCGAGATGAAGCAGCGCGCCAACTGCAAGATCCGCATCCAGCGCCAGCTCGAGATCATGGGCAAGGACGTCTCGGGCGACCAGATCGAGGATATGTTCGAGCAGGGCAAGTGGGACGTGTTCTCTGAGAACTTGCTCGCCGACGTGAAGGGCGCGCGGGCGGCCCTCAACGAGATCGAGAGCCGCCACCGCGAGCTGCTGCGGCTGGAGAGCCGCATCCGCGACGTGCACGAGCTCTTCTTGCAGATGGCCGTGGTGGTGGAGGAGCAGGCCGACACCCTGAACGTCATCGAGCTCAACGTGGAGAAGACCCTCGACTACACTGGCCAGGCCAAGGCGCAGGTGCGCAAGGCGGTGCAGTACAAGAAGAAGAACCCCTGCCGGACCCTCTGCTGCTTCTGTTGCCCCTGCCTCAACTAGCGGATCCGCCCGGCCGCCCCACCCTACTCCACCCCTGCCAGCAATGGCCGGGAAACACCCCGGGGAAGATCTGGGGCTCCTCCACGCAGGGGTGAGTTGCCCCAAGCCTTATGGACTTCGGTCTTTGGAGAAAGAAGAATTTTGAGGGGCGAGAATTCCCAACCCATCTTGTGTTTGGGAAGGGGCTGATGCCGTCCGGTGTTTCTTCAGTAAGGACAGACACCCACTGAAGTTGTGTGAGGTCATCATCCGGCACGTGGCCCCCTTTCCCTCTCCACGAAAGCCGGATAAAGAACTGACGCTGTAGCTTACTGTACCGTGAATGTCCATGGCATGCTTCCTAACGAAACTCTCGGGGGAAGTCAGTTCTGCATCGGCTGGTAGTATGAGCTCGTTATCAAGGCTCAAATTCCTTCACCTTATCCTGAAAGTCCCTTGGTTCTGTTCAATTTCACATGACCTGGATCTGGGGGAAAACTGTCCGTCTTTCATTTCTGATTCTTCATCTGGCTTATCCTGTGTGATTCCTGCCTCGATGCATACCTTCTTTCTGCCCACCTCCCCTACTTACCACATTTAACACATTATTTCCTTATCTCTCTCACTTTTAGTATTTCCCATCAGAATGTATTTTGGATTTTTTTCCAAATATTTTTAAGCACTGAGTTTTGAACACGCACTCAAATTGAAGTATGTTACCTGTCATATTTTATATATTTTTCATAAATAATTTAAAATTTATCTTTTTACTTGATAATACAAATGCACATAAATATGTAAATGTAAAGTACTAATAGTAACACATGTACAGAAGGACCAATTGGTTTAACTTGACTTTTGTAAATATGGTCTATAAATACCAAGAGCAGGACTTGTACTGGTCATTGGTGTTGGTTTGCATGTTTTGAGTTTATCTTGCTCCCATCTGCATAGTCAAAATTCTATTTTGAACCACTCTGTGTTGGTTGTGATGGTAGAGACAGATGTCAAAGGCTAAAATGCATACAGAACTGGAGATGATAAAATAATGTCTTTGTAAATACTTCTTTTGTTTTACTGTGGACCATTTCTTTCATGTACTGAAAGGGAGTAACTTAAAATAAAATAATTGTGTTTCTCAATTTAGCTTAATAAACATTACATTATAATATCCCCTTTGTGTATTTCTATCTTGATCACTTAAGTCTTAGTTTGCTTTTTCAGTTATTATTCTTAAAAATTCTTCTACTAGCTGCGCAAGGCTGCAGCGTCTAGATGGAACTCTGAAGAGAAGGGGAAAAGAGGAAAAACAATTCACTTGTGGGTGTCCCGCTTTCTTTCCCAAGTTACTTACAATAGTTTAGCAAATCATCCTGTTTCAGAGATTTGGTTTTGTTTGCAAAATTGTAATGCCCTTACCCACATTTACCATGCTTTCTGTCTTTCTTCTGAGTCAACCCTTAACTGCTTTTACTCATTATTTACTAAATGAACAAGTTTACTCAGCAGTCAAAATTCTCGGTTCTTTAACACAGATCTTAAAAAGGAATAGAAAGAAGATCCTGTGAACTCTTTGGAACTTACTGACGAACCTACTTATGCCCATGAAAATCTAGCTCTGCCCCTAATTTTGATTTCATGGTTAAATATGAGAATTGTGGAGACCAAGTTCACTGGGCTCCTCTCAGATTTCTCCCAATTTCTTTCTCAGCTAACCCCATGGATATGTTTCATTTTTAACTGAATTTCCTCACCCCCACCCCCCCAAAAGAAACTTCCCATGGCTCCATTGCTGTCTTTCTTTGTAGAAAAGTGATATTGTGATATTATTTATATAGACCACCAGCTGGTTTCCCTGAGAGAGAATGGTTCATGAATTTGACTTCTTTAAACATATACAGCATTTTCTTTGCCTAGAACCAATCATAAAAGTAAACCAGTTTGCAAGCTCTGTGTATTTTTTAATTCCCCACATTTCACATTGGAGAATTAAGTAAACACTTTCATTTACTAAGTGGTTAGTGAACTGTTGCCCATGACAAAGTAGGAATTTTTCTTCTTGCTTTTTAGTAACTCTCTGAGTGTTGCATAGTAGTTAAGAACGCTGATTCATGACCTCCCTCTCTCAGTTTAAATCCTAACTCTGCCTCATACTAGCTATATGATTTGGGCACATTACTTACCCTGTTTGTGCCTCAGTTTCCTCTTCTGTAAAATGGACATAATAAGGCCTACTTCATCAAGGTGTTGTAAGAAGTAAAGGCTATCTATGTTCATTATTGTTATTATATAGCTTTTTGTAGACTGAGAGAGCTAATACTAACAGTAAATTAATAGTCATTAACTTCTGAGAGAAAAAATGTTTATTTTTCTGTTATTTTCCATTAACAAAATGAAAAAAAGAAACTAAGACCTATCTTCTTCGAATATTAGGGCTTTTTTTTTCTACCACAAAAAAACCATTTTCACAATAGCATTTCTATTCCTTCTTATATCCAAACGTGTTCTGAAAAAGTATTAGATGTTCCGCTTAAAATTAACAGTTAAGCAGGAAGCAGCTGTTCTGTCAATTTGGCGAGGTTGTTCTCCTGATCTTCCCAAGCTGTGAATCAGAAAGTGTTCCGTTGTAGAGGCCAGGTCACAACAGACTAAAGGGAACAGCTGGCTTTTCCCACATCCTGCCTTGTTTCCCCCAAGCCCTTCCTGGCTCTGAGTGCCATTCCAGTGTGTGAAATGCTGGTGTTTTCCTCAGGAAAGGGTACTCCAGTGCCCCCAAGAGGTGCTGCAGAGGTTGGCTTTACCCAATCCCACAATGCCCTCTTGGCAAACTCTGAAAGTTGACTTAGGGCAAGAAGAAAACTTTGTAACAAAGCCACTCATTTCATACACTAATATCATTTAATGTACGAAATGAAGGAACCAATCACAAAGAACAATAGATCCTTAGGGGGCAGAAGGTGGAAATCTATTTCTAAAGCTATTTTCACATAAGCAGTGACTCCTTCTAACTTGCCAAATGCCAAACCTTACAGTCACCGCCACAAATTATAGGCAGTGACAACTCCAGAAAGATCAGAACTAAGAGAGATGCTCACCTATGATGCATCAGTACCCAGGATAATGTGAGTTTGAATTTTTTAAAAGCCGATCAATAATTCAAAAGAGTTTGAACTGTGACATCACAGGAGTAAGTTTATGGCCTTTCAAGATAATGACTTTGAAAGAAAACAGTGTTCTTCTTGTGCTTCATATTTATTTAAAAACAGCCTCAATGCTTTATAGTTGAATGTCATATGCACATACGTTTCAGGCTCTACAATGTAAGATTCCTGTCTTGACAGGAACCAGCGGAAGATTGTGTACAGCTTAAAAATAATAAAATAGGGTAATTGTCCTCTTGGATTTTAATATCAATCCCACCATTCTATTTCCACCATCAGACATTTCCACTTCTCTCTTTGAAATATAAACAGTATCTCTAATGCAGCATGAATTCACTCATTTGTAATCAGGATGATAGTTTGAAACATACAGTTGCTGTTAAAGTAACAGTTGACTTGCTTTTGATAGCAAGAATTGAGAATTCTTGCAACTAATAAAACGCGGCTATTAGAAAAGGAATTTGAAGAGGATCTAGAATGCAACCTCACCATCATATGAATATTGGGCATCTTTACTACCAGCATGTGTTATAAAGGAAGGATGAGATAGCCTTATACACTGGAAACTTCTACTGTAAAAATTATGTATATATTGGTAAGAAAGAAGGCTTTCTCACCTGATGATCTGGTTGAGAATATATAGGATGCTCTTAAACCAGTGATATCCTAAAAATTGAGGAGTGAGAAACAACTCCCCAACACTATCATTGTATAATTTTTTTTTTTTTTTTAAGTAGGCTCCATGCTGGGTGTGGATGCAAGGCTCGAACTCATGACCACAAGATCAAGACTTGAGCCAAGATCAAGAGTCAGACACTTAACCGACTGAGCTACCCAGGTGCCCCTCTAATTCCTGATATTTATTTTGGAAGTATTTTATGCCCCATTTTAATTATGAGCATCTTTAAGCCACTCTTGAACCTCCTCCATCTTTCCTGGTCTGTATCTCTACATTTGCAAGGTCTTAGACGCAACTCTTTAGGCATAGCTGCCCTCTGTATCCAGGTATCCCACAATAGTCTCTAGCAGATACAAATAACAGCATGAAAATTACATTATATTATATACATATAATATATAATAATATGAAATATTAGTCCGGGGGCTCTGAGAAGTCGACTCTAAGAGGGAATCCAACACACAAAACTTTAATTCACAGAAATGCATTACAGAGACACCAAGAGATAAATCACAGCTACCATAGTGTCCCTGCAGCGCTCAGTCATGGAGGGTGGAGAGGGGCTCGGTGGAAATGGATGGATTTCAGTGCCCATCCCTCAGGCCTGCTGGCCAGTGAGTGAGGTGTGTTCTTCTGGCCAGCGCTGCCCTTCTCTTCACCAAGCAACCTGGGCTTCCTCTGCTGGACTGCTTTTTGATTTTTAAGGGCAGACAGTATCATCTTATTTGTTTTTTAATCTTCGTGTTTTGTTGGTTTCATAGTACTCAATGTTCATGGGCAGAATGCAGAATAGAAATATTCAGAATTTGCTTTCTGTTATGAATGACTTTGTGTACATCTTTTAAAAATGTGTTGGAGGGGTGCCTGGGTGGCTCAGTGGGTTGAGCCTCTGCCTTTGACTCAGGTCATGATCCCAGAGTCCTGGGATCAAGTCCTACATCGGGCTCTCTGCTCGACAGGGAGCCTGCTTACCTTCTCTCTCTGCCTGTCTCTCTACCTACTTGTGATCTCTCTGTCAAATAAATAAATAAAAATCTTTAAAAAATGTGTTGGGGCACCTGAGTGGATCAGTCAGTCAAGCAGAGGACTCTTGGTTTTGGCTCAAGTCATGATTTCAGGGTCCTGGGGTGAGCCCTGAGTCGGGTTCTGCACTCAGTGGGGAGCTGGCCCAAGGATTTTCTCTCTCCCTCTCCTTCTAC